CACATTGTTGCTATTTCAAAAATTATTAATAAAGATACGAGCAAGGCCTCACCTTAATACCAAAAAAAAAAAAAAAACCAAATTATGATAAAATCAATACATCAAGATAAAAAAAAAAGACCAAGTTTAATATTTAATTATTTTTTAAAAAAAATTTTAGCAGCAAATTTCAATTTATCGCACACAATAATGATTAATTTAATGATTGAGCATTATTAAGATTTTCTAAAACTAACCAGCTTCATTAGATAAAATTTTGATCATTAGTCAATGTTTTTCGATACAGTCAGTATTTTCAAGACATGCATCGTTAGAATTAGTTGAATTAGTTTGAATGATTTGATTGAGCCTATTTTATTTATTTTAAACAATATGATGTGAATTATTTCTTTCTTGTGCAATATGCCATCGAACGCATGTTATTTTTGTTGTCACTGTGGTGAATGGATATTTGCAATAAATGACCAGAATCTTTCGCTTTCAGCAGAATTCAGCAGTAGGTGGTATCGACATAATTCGTGCAGCAAAAACAGCCAATTCTGGTGCGATCGATCTTTTTATTTAATTCAAACAATTTTGTATATACGTAATTTATAGTTTATTTGTAATTGAGTAGTTTATTTGTAATTGAGGATATAGTTTATTTGTAATTGAGTATATAGTTTATTTGTAATCGATGACTCTTAAATTACTTAATAATAATAAAGATAGAGGCATGGCCTCACCTTTGAAGATTTTTTTTTTAAAAAAAAATTATAAGATATGTAAGGGATAAATTTTAGCTATTACTTACATAATTATTACGACAGGTCATAACGATAATCCCGACAAAAAACTCCCAACAGCCAAAATCCGACAGTTAAAAATCCTGACAATTAAAAATTCAGATAACGATAAAAAATATCATAAGCCATAGCTAGCCTAACCACAAAAGCCCAGCCCGGCCCGACATTTTTAGGCCCGTAATTATAGCGGGCCGGCATAAAAAAGCTTACCGTTACAAACTCCAAAAAACCATTACTGCTATTATCATAATTCCTGGAACACCAGATAAAAATTAGCCGAATGATTTTTTCGTCGATTCAACTAAGTTAGTAATTTCGGCATAATAGTTAGGTTGATACGTATACGTATGTAGTGATGCAAAACGGTTCGATCGGCTCAATCGGCTTGTATATTCAGTACGTATAATAAAAACCGATTAATCAATAGAGCCGATAAGCCGATTTGCATCTCTATACGTATGTACGTACGTACGTACGTAATTAAGATCAGGTAACTAATATGAATATTATGCCGTTACGAATATCTCAAATCAAATACAGAAACAAAGTTCTTTCAAAGCATCTTCGCTGGCGAATAATTGGAAAAAATTTAGAAAGCTTATCATTTCGAAAATTGCAAAATCTTAAATGTTAAAATGTCTTTTATAAGTCGACTTTTTAGATTTCTTGTCAATATTTTAGCCTTCTCTACAAGTTTTCGTACAAACTAAACACAACATATACAACCAAAAATTTATAACATAGAACATGTCAATATTTATAATGATAAAATTATCTGCAGAACAGGTATTATGTGTAACATGTCTCATATAGAAAATTATTATTCGCATAATAAGTATGTATAAATTCTGTCAAAATTGTATGTAATTTTTGTTACATGAATGATGTTGGCCAAAACTCCCGTAGAGCTGACTCATAAAGTAGTAATGCTGGTGCAATAATCAGCACTATTTAACTGTTAACGTTAATGTAATTTTATTGAATCTATTATGCCGAGATAATAACTTACTGTAACCGGATCGGCCGAAAATCATTCGGCTAATCAGTGTTGTGAGGGTTACTATGTCCAATTGTTTTCAAATAAATTGGACATATGTCCAATTAATTTGAAAACAATTGGACATAGTACCCTCACAACACTGTAAAAAATCTGCCGAGTAAGTTATAATAGATTCAATAAAATTACAAATTATACATTAATTAATGCAGTGGCACATGATTATTGACCTGCATTACAAAAATTTGCCAGAATTATTAGACTTTGTGTGCCAGCTCTATAAAAGTTCTTGACAATGTTATTTGCATAACAAAAATTACACATCAGAAATTTACACGCAAACTTCCACCCTATATACTGATATATCCCTATATATAAAAGACATATGCATTATATATGATACTTTTCTACGATAATTTTAACATTATAAAATGTCAATAGTAGTGTTTTTAGTCTGTGCGAAAATATATATTTCAAATTACAATGTAATTTATATGTGTATAACGTAACATATTATATATGTATATAACGTAACATACTGTAATAACTTAATATTAACCAACATAATAACGATAACTTAACCGGATCGGCCAAAAAACCATTCGGCAAATTTTTATCAGGTGTTTCAGAATTTATGAAAACAGCTGTATGATACGTAATAGCAGTAAACTGAGTCACAGGCCCGATCCGGCTCGGGGCCAAGTTTCGGGTTCAGGTCTAGTTTACAGCTGTTTTCATAAATTCGGGAAAATTCTATTTGCCGATTCAATAAGTTTTGATAAACTGCCGAATCAAAGCTTATCGAATCAGCAAATATTCGGTCGGTCAAATTTTGTCCAGATTTTTCTGAATTTATAATGCTACAGCTATTAATTATATCCTCTGTTTCATTCGGTAAATTACCTAATTCTCCGGAAATTACATCGCTGTCTTCGGACTGAAGGTCCGGAGACAGCGATATATTGTAGTTTCCGAGAAGGTACGTACGTAGGTAATTTACCGAATGAAACAAAGGACATTTCGGTCATCTGAAAATTCTTCAGGTGTCCCAGAAATAATGATAATAACTGTAAATGCGGGCCGGACCGGACCGGGCCATAGAAATTGCCAATTTGCCTCTACTTAGAAGTTCATAACAGTTTTTTGTTTAGCGTTAGGGTTACGTAGTTACGTAGCGTCAGCGTTTGTTTACGTTACACGAATATCTTCAAAATTCTGGGTGACCCGGATCGGAACACTGTTAACAATATTGAAATAACGATAAATGGAATAATTAACATGTTAAAATTTGCGGGAAGTACAGGTGACTCAAAATGACTCAGTGAAGAGAATTCGATGTATGCTAACACTAATCCTAATCCCAACTGATACAGATATGCATTAGCAAAACGTAAAATGCGCACTAAATTTCAAGTCTGAATTTTTCTTTCACTGGTGACTTTACATAAGAAAGTTGCCGGATTCACTTATATCGAATCAAAGGCCGTTTATTATAAATTCTCAATTGGGATTTTCTTCTATCAAGAGTTTTCTTGTATCGAAGGCTTCCTATATTCAAAATTTTTGTTACCCATGTGAATTAATTACATAGTCGGTCAGTGAAAAACGCCGCAAATGACCAAAATACAAAGATTGTAGATTGTCTTAAATTTACTGATTTTTAATCCAATTAATGTAAGGGAATTGGGCTGAGTTCAATTTTGTCTATTTTGTCAATTTTTGTCAATTTTGTATATTTTGTCTATTCTGGCTTTGTTCCTTTTTCTCAATGCCGGCAAGGCTAATAGAACTGAAAGGCCGAGAATAAGTTTATAGAATCTTTTATAGTAAATTGTTTATGAAAAATCTGACTGTACAGTACAGCAGTACAACATGGTTTCTTATACTATCACGTGATTGGTTTGACCAAAACTAACGCACGTACGTACGTACTTACATAATTAAAGGCAATGTACCATCACGTGTAAAGTATGTGTATTTAATTTGTACAATACTCCTAACATTCTTTTTCACAAAAAAAAAATAAAATAAACCGTCCAAGATGTCGAATGAAACCTCAGCATTGCCAGCAGACCCGAGCGAACCACAACAACCACAGCAATCCAAAGAAGATCAAGGGCCAGCTATTCGTATAGTTCCACATATTGACGGTCCTCGCTCTCTGCATTTTGACATCATCGAGCGAGAAGTTCCTGAAGGTGTGCTGATAAAAATTGGTCGTTTTACGGACAAAACTCAAGCACCAAATAGGGTTACATTTAAGAGTAAAGTTGTGTCTAGAGGTCATGCGGAAATTTGGACTGAAGGCGGCAAGGTATTTAGACTTTTTTTTTTTTTTTTTTTTTCGGGACGGACTTTCGTTGGTATCCTAGAAAGCTTTTTCTCGAAAGTTTTTTCTAGTCAAGGCTTAGATATGATAATACGAATTACTTTTTTTGCGACAGAGGGATATTAATTTTGTATTTGAATCATTTAAGTGAATTTGGTAATACGTTCTTTGAAAATAATGCTTATTTATTTATTTATTTATTTATTTTATCATTCTTGCAAAGTTTTACATCCGAGACACAAAATCATCCTCTGGCACTTTTCTAAACCATGTTCGTCTATCTCCCCCAAGCGCTGAAAGCAGACCTTTTGAATTAAATGATGGGGATGTTGTTCAACTTGGAGTCGATTATCAAGGTGGAACAGAAGGTAAATGGCAAATATAATTACGAATATTTAATACTGTTAATCTATATGAAGGTTTTTTTATTATTAGAAATCTATCGTTGTGTGAAGATGCGTATAGAGTTAAACCGTTCATGGCAAAGACAAGCCAATCCATTCAGGTAAGAGAATTTCAAAAAATGTTTACTAACTAGAACAAATACAGAAGTCATATGAGCCAGGGCTCAAAATCAAGCATTTAAGAAACTAGGATATTTAGAGAATACTCCTTTAAAGGAATTGTGCAACAAAGTCATGGGTTATTTATTTAATTAGAATGTTAGAACGTTAGATGTTAAAATATTACAATTCCGAAATCTGTACTAGACCATCACGTGATTTATTTCGACTTCTTTAGAAGATTGATCATGTAATTTTTGAGTTCAAAACTAATGTGTAAAGGTCAATATAAACTACGTGATCGTATAGTATAGATTTCGCTTTTATGACTTTTATGAGGACTTATAACCAAGTGTTCCAAAAATATATAAAACTTAGTAGTAAGCTTATAAGTCATTTAAGAATTTATTATAAAAGGCCAAATTCCTCTAAGGGATTATGCTCTTTATAATTTCAATTATATCTGTATTAACTTTTCTTTTCTTTTCTTTTATGCATGCATTTGCATTTTATTTATATATTTAGCATCAATGCATTGAAACAGTTCAAACAATTGATGAGTCCCGAGGCATTAAGACAACAAACTGCTGATTGTTGCATTTGCTTATGTGGAATTGGTCCTTGTCAGGCATTATTCTTTGCTCCTTGTTCCCATATTTTTCACTACAAATGCATAAGACCACTTTTAGTTAACCATCACCCAGGATTTTTATGCCCACTTTGTCGTAGTTTTGCTGACCTTGAGGCTCCAATAGATAACCCTATTGATTGGGAACAATTACTTGCTGAACATGAGGAGGTAGCGAAAAAAGAAAATGATGATCCCGACATAAATCAAAATATGGATCAGGTAGTAGATCAATCTGAACAATTAGAGCATGAAAACGAGATCCCAAATGCGGGCCCGTCTTCGTCACTGTCAAATATCCCTCCACCAAATTCTTCTGACTCATCACCATCTCAGGTGAATGCCAATGAAATTGACGAACGACTTAATTCGCTTAGTCTCGCTACTACTTCGGCTTTAACGTCGAAAAAATCTTTTGCTGTACCGATACCAAGAAATGGTAAAATATCAAATTCTTCTGATGATGGTGATGATCAAAACATAACACTTAGTCGCACGTTACCGTCAAGTCCACCAAACTTACCAGTAACAATTTATATCGATGAAAACCAACATCAATCACTTCGTGAACAAGGTGGCGCGCAAAGGTTAGATGAGATCGTTGAAGAAGATGAAAGTTCTGTGGGTTCATCGAGTCCTGGTAAAAGTCAAAATCCTACAACACCGCTTCAAGAATCAAGTTGTTCTTCAGTTAGTATAAATGGCGACGATGATGCTATGGTTAGGGATGGTAAAGTTAGTTTAGGTTTGGTTTAGGTTTAGGTTCCAAATTAAAAAATCATAAGAATCAAAACATAAGAATCATGTTTTTATATAATATGTTCTAAGAGTAGGGTGCGCGGCGTCATAGGACACTTACGATCCACATTTAAATATTTAAATAGAAAATTGAGAAATGCATCATTTCATTGGGTTTTATCGATAATACAGCATCTATTTTCTGGAAATGTCAAATAGTTTTTGAGTGTATAATTAGATTGGTTCACTTTTCTTTGCTGATTTAACTTTTGTTTATACTTTTTCTCCATCTTTTATTGTCTACTCTACATGGTACTTAAATCGGATAAAAAATGTGTACTTTTAATAAAATCATTTTACTACTTTATTTATGTTATGCAAAGAAGCTTGCTAAATCGATGTGATGTTTTTTTTCTTGGCAGTTTTGTTTTTACAATTTGAATATTGAATTAAGTCGCAAATCTATTTTGTTTATTGCTTAAGTATGTTTTTAAGTTTTCCATCCTATTTTTACAAATTTTACAAAATAAGTTTATCCGATGCCGAAATCGAAATTTGGGCCTTAATTTGAAAATACAAACCCTACTAAAATTCACCTATACCCTTTTATTATAAACACTACTAACCTTAAATTCTAATCTTACTATAAAAAAAAAACTGATCAAGAACATTCAAAAAATTTTTAAATCTTCATAATAAAGTAAGTCAAAATTTTAGCATCATCCCCGACAGTAAATAAATAGCAAAATAAAATTTCTTAAAATTACTTTTTTGATTATATTCTTTATAGATAATTTATAAACAACCATAATACAAACTAAAAAAACCAATAAAAAGAAAGTTCACTGTGAAAATATTAGCTATGGAAATATTAACCGTGAAAATATTAGTAAAAAAAAAAATCCCGAGCAAACAATTAGAAGCCGTGTAATAAATATGATACGAACTAAGTCCAATAACTTTTAAAATAGAGATTTGCTTTAATATTTTTTATTATTATATATATACTATTATATATTATGTTATGTTATTTAGTCTTTTATAATTATAAAAACTTAAACTAATTTATTACAATCTTAAATCTACTTGAGTTTTATATATTCTATCTAAATTTTAACTATATAGCTATATTTGATTAGTTATATATTTTTTTTTATATTTATTATATTTATTAATAACTTTCAAATTGGTTTTTTTAAAATAATTGTTACAGATATAAGTTTTCATATGGGGTCTTTGCCTTGAGAATCACCTTCCGACATTTCCGATCGGGTTAATTCGGACAAAAATAAACCGAGTACCGATTCATGTTCATATGTTAATCAACTTTTAACTTTATTGATTCAATAGTTATTCAATAAACTATTGAATCAATAAAGTTAAAAGTTGATTAACATATGTACATGAATCGGTACTCGGGTTTATTTTTGTCCGAATTAACCTGATCGGAAATGTCTGAAGGTGATTTTCAAGGCAAAGACCCCATATTATAGATATATTTTATTTTTTAAATTGTAAATTAAAACCAGCAAATTTGCCTATATTATTACTATAAATATATTACTGATCTATTTTTGTAATAATTTAAAATATTCAAATAATAAAATGAATTAAAAACTCTTTTTACTGATTACTTGTACCAAAATTAGAACAAGAAAAAAAATAGCATTTTTAATAAAAGCTTTAAGTAAACTTGTTTAATACTTTTAGAAATCTTAAAAAAGTAATATAACTTGTAAAAAATATCTACTAATAGGAAACTATTAAAGCTAGATTTGATTATAAAATTTAATTATATTAAGATAAAGTTAGATTAGTGCCTATTTGGGTTGGGTTAAAAAAGTTTTATGAATAAAATCATCTGTTTAACATTTTTTTTTAATGTATTAAAATATAGTGTTTCAAAGTTTAGTTCACTTCAATTTAGGTTCAGGTTCAAGTTTAATTGAACCTGAATCTAAACCTGAACTGAACTTTAAATTTATAAACTTGAACTGAATCTGAACTTAAAGTTTTGGTTTAGTTCAAGTTCAGTTCAAGTTTATGAACATATTCAAGTTCAATAAATTATATGTATATTATATATTATTAAATAATCTACCTCTAATAATAAGTTATTTTTTTTTTTTTAAAAAAAAAAAAAATCTTAAATCTAAAAAT